AAATATCAAAAAAAAAAAAAAAGAAATGGTTATATAGGTAGAGCACTCACATAGCATCCCTAGAAGAAGGACCAGTTTGGTTGATTGAAAGATTTGAAAGAGCTTAAAACAACAATGAAATCAATATTGATTTTTTGCTACATGATTTCTAGTTTGTTGTGGAAACAAATGTTTTGGGTTAATGGACATCAGCAGCCTACTGCTTATTTAAGCCCAGTATTGTATGCTATAGCAGAACAAAATATACTTACAGGTGTTGATTGTCATTGTGCTACCCGTGAAAAGATAGAGACCATATCTCCTGGGTTTAAGATACCTTTTAGAATAGCTTCTATTTCAAATTCAATACATGCTCAGACTAGAAAACAAAGTCGCTGATGCATATCGGGATTTTCAGTGGAGATCACTTTGACATCAATCTTAGTGGTGAATAAGACCTTGTGCTAGCCGTGAAAAGATAGAGACCATATCTCCTGGGTTTAACATACCTTTTAGAATAGCTTCTATTTCAAATTCAATACGTGCTCAGTCTAGAAAACAAAGTCGCTGATGCATATCGGGATTTTCAGTGGAGGTCACTTTGACATCAATCTTAGTGGTGAATAAGACCTTATGGCTTATATCAAGAATACAAGTAACTGAGGATTCTTTTCTTTCGAAGATTAAAACTGTGATATTGAATGGCAGTAGCGCAGATAGTCCCTCCTCAGTAGATGACTTATTGAAGTATAAGGTCTCTTAGTACTAAAGAGCTTGCCCTTGATTTCTTTACTCCTGGAAGAGTACCACAATGGCTTTTCGGGAGGGCATGCTGGAGAGCAGAAAACCTATAAGCAGTTGCATCTGAATTGTATTGGGAAGGAATTCAAGAAGGGGTCAAAGACTCTGTATTCAAGAAAATATCAACATCACCACCAGCCAGTTTGGCTTAACCCCTCCTTATCCTTAAATCACCTTGGGATGATTTTGAGATGGATTTTGTGGATGGCATGGCTAAATAGGAGGTAGCGGAAGAATACTATTCTAGTGGTGATTGATCAACTAACCTTATAATGCATACTTTCTCACTTTAAAGCTTAAATAATAGGTAAATTATGTAATGCTTGAGTTTGTGAGCTGGTCATGTCAGTTGGGGGAGAGGTTTGTGAGAGACATGGCTCTTTTGTAGTACTTTTAGCAAACATGGTTGTGGGGAAAGGAAAGGTAGCAAAGTAGCTTGTTTTTGTTGGGAGAAACACACACCTCTCGGATAGCTGTAAATTATTTTCTATATCAGTATAATTGTCATTTTGTCTGTATTTTTTCTGGATTTTGCTTTTCATTGTCCTTGCCACAACTCCTTTGTGTCTGTCCCTTGCATTGATATTTATTGCTTTCTTAGAATTTTATGCTGTGGGTGGGTAGTTTAGTCTCTACATTGTTCTAGTACTGATGCTCAATGGTGAAAATTTTCCTTCCCAGCCTACTGGCAGAGCAATACAGGTGGAAGGTGGTTATGGTGAGCGTCTTCCCTCAATTGATATTAGACCTCCCAGAATTCGTGATTCAGATGCTATAATTGAGGTATTTCCATCAATCCTGTGATTAAGCAAAATGCCATAGTCTTCCATGTTCAACGCTATTATTAATCTTAATCCTATACTCATAATAAAAATTAACTTCAGGCGTTTGGTTCTATAGATTGTCTTGCAGGATTCTTTGGATGACAATTCCTCCACAGGAAATTGCACCCCGAACCAACAGAATGATGATCTTTCTAGAAAGGATTTCAAAGCAGTCCATGAGACCGAAGAGGACAATGCACAAATTGATAGTGATACTGAATATCCTGACAATTTTTCAGAAATTCATGATAATGAACTGCGAGAGAAGGCTGGAAGAAGAAAGGCATCAACGAATTCTGCTTGTGATAACATACGCGAAGATGTGAATTTGCCTTCCCCTCCAGATGGACCAGTACACTATCCTGCGTCCAGAGGCCATACCCCTGCTTACCCTGCTCAAAATTTGGGTGTTGTTGAAGAAAGGTAAGAATCATTTGGTGAACATCAATCATTCACTTTGATAGCTACTGCCACGAAGTTGATTTTATAGTTTAAAATAGCAGCATGCAGTCTGAACCATTTTTCATTTAATTACACGGACTTGACAATGATTAAATGTCACGTTATAGTAACGAAGTCGTCTTCATATCATAGTTGACAATTTAGGATGCTTGTAGCATAAAAGTTTTGAGTTAGGCACACTTGATGTATGTCTCATTGTATTAGAGCTTGTATTATGCACTTTCGAAGTCTTTTGGAGTGTTTTCGGTAGCAGGTATGCCATTTCAGGTTACAGATTGTTAAACAGTCCCATTCAAGATCATCAGTCAAATAAATAGTTCATGTTCTACTGAAATAGAACTCAAAGCAATACTGATCCTAATTTCCAATGCTTTTTAGAATTTTTTTTTTTTTGAAATCTTGATTCTTTCCCCTTTCTGGGTATTTCTTAGCTCAATATCAACGTATCTGAAGGAATTACTTATTTTTCTCCTTTTCTGAGTACAGGCGGCCACAGAGTAGAACACATAACAAGTCCCCTCATTCTCCTAGACAAAACTTGCAGGATAGGAGATCTTCCGACAGTCAGGAGGAAGGCTCTGTTGGAAGTATAAATGGTAAACGTAGTCCACAAGTGTCATCTCCTGTAATGGTTGAGGCTGCGCGGGAGTCTAGTGCCGAGGACAAGGATGCTGAACACGATGAGCTCATTGAGGCTGACAGAAATACTGAATTAGATCGGGATAATGAGAATTTCATTTCAACCAGCAACGCTAATAAAAGTGATAGAGATAATGAAGTAATGGGGAATAATGAGAAATTGAGTCCTATAGTTGAACCACTTCTGCCCAAAGAAGACGACGATGAAGACTCAAAAGCTGCAAGTAGTGAAAATAGAAAAACGCGCTCAGGGAGCAGCAGGGATTATCAGAAATGGCAGGATGGGGTCGAGGAGGAAGTATTTCAAAACAGACGTTCATCAAGCATGGGGAGCATCAAGAAGTACATCGATGAAAATGAACAGAATTTTCGAAAAAAAGATCACGATGACAAACCAGATGAGAGGAACCGTGTGGAAGTTAAGGGGAGGAAGGAATCTTATGCTTATAGAGACTGGGACCCTAGCTTAGCTCATCAGCATCATTTGAAAACTGATGGCTTTGATAGGCGAAAGGAGAGGAGTAATGCTGAAGCTACTTGGCAAAGAAGAGATGATGATCCTTATTACAGAAAAGCAAGAGCTGAAGAAACAAGAAAGAGGGAGCATGATGATGAAACCGGATCTAGGCATAGGGGCAAAATTCGTGAAATTGAGAGAAGTGATAAAGATGACCGCCATCTAACGAAAAAGTTAGATAATGGAAGCTATAGGGTTCATTATGATAAAGGTGCTAGCTCAAGACATAGGGAAAGAGATGACAGTTTGAAGAGTAGATATGAAAATGTGGATAGCTATTATAACAAGAAAAGGAAAGATGAAGAACATCTGAGGCGAGATCATGTAGACAAGGAGGAAATCTTGCATGGTAAGAGAGAGAGTAAAAGCCACCGAAAACGGGAAAGAGATGAAGTCTTTGAACCGCAAAAGAGAGATGAGCTACTGAGGGTTAGAGATAACATTGGAGATCACCATTCTGTAGGGCACAAAGAGGAGTGGTTACAAAGAGAAAGGGGTGATCGGCAGAGAGATAAGGAGGATTGGCATAGGCTGAAACAATCCCGTGAGGAAAATCTATCAAAGCGGGATAGAGATGAAGGAAGGAGCTCTGTCAGGGGTGGGCATGGAGCAGAAGAGAAAGCATGGGTGGGTCATGTGAGGGTGAAGGATGATAATAGAGTTTCTGAAAAGGAGTACCAAGTAAAAGATGTGGTGCGTCACAGTGAACAAACTAAGAGGAGGGATAGAATAGAGGAGGAAAGTTCACGTCGAGGACGTGAGGATGCTTATTCACGGCGGAATCCACCTAGTACTGAGGACAGAAGATCTAGGCTGGAAAAGTCAACTGGTGAAAGACATGCTGTTAATGCTTTTGATAGCCAGAGAATTCATGATAAGAGGCACAAAGAAAGCAAGATGAAGAACAGAGAAGTAGATGGCAGCGACCACAATGCTTTAGGTCCTTCCAAGAAAAGCCAAGAGAACCAAAACAATTATAGGAGTCAGATGGTATATTTCCTTTTATTGGTTTGTTTTATGGAAGTGGAAATACTACCTTTTACTTTAAAATTGGAATAGCAAGGTTTTTCATTAAACATAAACGGCAGGTTTTAAGTTTGAAATTGGCATAGTTGGATGGCTAAATATGTGTGACATCAACCCTTTTTTCCTAATAATTACCTCTTTTGTTGCTTGGTTCCTTCATCATTCATCCAATTTACCCTTTTTTTTTCCTGTGTGGCCCGCGGGGGGTTGGTGGTTCTCAATCCTTTTCCTCAATTTATCAATGCCTGTGGACTAGCAAGTTGAGGTTTATCTTCCTCAATTCCTTTTTTCTGGTCCTTTCTTAATTACTTCCTTTATTACAGAGAGCTGGTTTAATTACCCTGCTCATTACTTACTTTAGGAAGTTCTGCCGTGTGGTTTAATTTCATTCTTGGTTTCTAGCATTCCCATGTAGCCATGTAGCCTCTCATTGATTAGAGTGGAGATGTTCCTTGTAATTGTTCTCTGTTTATTTCCTTCTCTTATATTTATGTATTCGATCGATGCGTGAGGACTACCATGGAGAATATTATTTTTAAGTTTCAAGTCTATGCCTAGTAAGTTGACGTTTGTCTTCTTAAAATTCTTTTTTCGTGGTTCTTCTCTAGAGGATTGGTTTTTGAATCCTCTGCTCACCACTTGATTTAGTAGCATGGTCTTTCGAGATTGGTTTCTGTTATTCCTTGTAATCTCTCATTGATTTTAGTGGAGATATTTCCTTGTAATTGTTCTCTGTTTTCATTATGTACTTCTATCATTTTTTAATTATTTTTTTTTTTACTTCAATCTAGGTCCTGAAAGGTTCCGATGATCATGGCGAGCCGGAGCACCATCATGGATCCAGGAAACATGCTGATGATGCTTCCTCAGACGAGGAGCAGCAAGATTCTAGGAGAGGGCGCTCTAAGTTAGAACGTTGGACAAGTCACAAAGAGAGAGATTTCAACGTCAACAGCAAGTCATCATCCTCATTAATATCTAAAGAAACTGAGAACAACGGCGGATCTTCAGAAGCCAGCAAACATCCAGACGACTCCATGAAAGCAGCTGAGGCCGTCGATAATCATCATGTGGCTGAAAAGAAAGATAGTGGTGATCTGGAGTCAAAGGGCAGCGTTTCCGATACAAAAGTATTGGAGGATAGACATATGGACACGGTCGAAAAGTTGAAGAAGAGAAGCGAGCGCTTCAAGCTCCCAATGCCAAGTGAGAAAGAGGCTTTAGTGATAAAAAAGATGGAGAGTGAAGCACTGCCTTCTTCCAAAAGCGAAGCTCCTGCAGATTCAGAGATTAAACCCGAACGACCCGCTCGAAAACGAAGGTGGATTAGTAGTTAATGGTTAAAAAATAAAGAAACTATTTGGTTGTAATCTGTGGTGTTTCTTCTTTCTTTCAAGGGAAGATCCATGAAAGAGGCCCTGTTCATTTCCACTCAGCGCCCTGCTCAAATCCATTGACAATGCAACGCCTTCTAATTGGGAGTGGCTTCTGTAGGAGGGTGGTACCAAATTAATGCATCATCTCTCTCTTTCTCCATCTCTTTTAGTCAATATATTATTTTGTAACCATATAATCATCTGCAGTAGCAACTTTTCTTTTACAGTATTTGTATATACTACTAGCAAGAGATGTAACATTGAATTGATTACTGAAAGCGGCTTAGAATGCATTTAGATACACTGTATGATTGTTGCCTTCTAATTCGTCGGGAAGCATTCGCGGAAGAACATCTACATGTTTGTTTGTTTTTAGGACATCTTAGTCTCAGCAATGTGCTATACCAAGTTTTTGCTACTAACATTACAATGAAGGTGAGGAAAAAAAGTTCCTTCATATTTGACATATATGAATGAGATATCATTTCTGCGTACTTTCTTCACACTTCATCTTTTAGTTCATTAAAGGTTCTTCTTTCTACTTTATTTGGACCGCTCTCTCACATATTTGAATGGATGCTTAAAAAAATGTCAAGAATATTGTTCCAAAAATTCTTATCGCTGTTGAAAAATTAACACTTGCTTAGTTTTTATTAAAAGTCTCTATTTTTATATTTTTCTCTCTTAGATGTCAAATATCTCTTTACCGTTAGTTTATTATGTTTTTATTAGATATTTTCATGAGTTTAATTAGTAAAGTTTTGGATTCATCATAAATATATCAACTACAAATTTGTCCATTAATTAGTGAAGTGAAATGAGAATTTCTTTTAATCAATTCTATTAATATTATGAATTATGAAAAAAAAAAGGGGAAAAAAGTTTTTATCTAATCCAATATTCTAAGGTATAATAAATGGATATAGAGACGTACGCAGGTGTCAATCACCGTTAAAACAAAACAATTACTGTTAAAACAAAACAAGTTAATACGGTGGATGAGAGCAATTTGCACTTCTGATTTGATTTGGTGGGGTACTGTGTCGGCGCAATCAAATTCTTCCACGTAACTGGTTGCAGGGTCTTAAAATGAAGCTTACCGCAGCAGATTCTGTCTCCATTTTACCTGCCGATTCCCAAACCGAGTCGCTCTTACTTGGCGCTCTCGCGCGTTGGCGTTGCGTTAAATTCCCACGCACAAGAATAAGATCCCATTACCCAAATTTGCGTTTACAGACTGTTCGTTTCCTTACGATTTCTCAATCCCTCTGTACAGAGAGAAACGAGACGGAGGAGCCTTTTTCTTTGAAGGGGGAGACGCAGAGGGAAGCGGGGGATTGAGTTTTGAGGACAAAGAGATGAAGATCACGGCGTTGTTGGTCTTGAAATGCCAACCGGATGGATCTGATCCGATTATATTAGCCAACGCTTCCGATGTGAGTCATTTCGGTTACTTCCAGAGGTCCAGCGTTAGAGAGTTCGTCTGCTTCGTTGGTCGGACCGTCGCTAAGCGTACCCCACCTGACCAGCGTCAATCTGTTCAGCACGAAGGTTTCTTCTTTTTTTCTTTTTCAATGGTTAATTCTCGATTAGGGTTATGTTTCTGCCCTTCTGCTTGGACTGTCGTTATGGGATTGTTCTTTTTTCTGATGATTTTGTTGCTTTTCTGCTGCAATTGGAGTTTCGGGTTTGAATTTGGGTTTTGAGTTTGTTTTTTTTTTCGATCAATCTCATAATCGGAAATTCATGAATTCTATATGCTGACCGGAATATGGAAAGATTAAAAGGCTGTAATTGTTAGAGGGAAAGTATTATTGCAGATTAGGGTAGAACGAACAGGATGTGATGCCACGCAACAAATTTTGAGCACAAAAAGACAAAATAAAACCCCAGTCGACGGTGGTGTATGCGACATATATACCAAGGAATGTCTCATGATGATCCCTTTTTCAGTTTTGGTTTAAGCGGGTACAACCGACAACTGGATGTTTTCGTGTAATATTTTTTACCCAGTTAGTGTTTTAATGCAATAGATTGCATATGGTTGATGCAATCTGAATACCATATAGGGGATTTATTGGGGCCCGTCATTTATAGGCAGTGAATTTGTTACAAGTTGAAACTTGAAGCTATAGTACGAGGTTTGCATATAAAGATTTTGAATTTCTTACTTTTTCTTCTTTTGGCCCTTTTCTTGTTTCAATAGGTCAATTAGTAATTTTCTTTTTGAATGATAATTTTTCAATACGAGGTTGGGTATTTCTTATGTGAGCTTCTTCTTTTTTCATGTTTTTTCTCTACTTTGAAGTCTCTGTTAAAGAAGTTTTGCAATGATAGTTTACCATTTAGCATCTTTCAGCTAGAGCTATTGCCTATTAATTATGTGCTATATTATTAAATTTTCAATGATTTTTTTGGAATTTTTGTATAGAGTACAAGGTGCATAGTTACAACAGAAATGGTCTTTGTGCTGTTGGGTTTATGGATGATCACTACCCAGTTCGAAGTGCATTTTCTCTGCTTAATCAGGTAAGCATAATTCTTTATCACACTTACCAAATGTCTTGTTATAGAGCACTCTTTCTTTCCCTGTGTTAAATTAAACGTGTGGTATGGAAATTTTTTTCTATGATTTGTCCTTGATGAGTTGATTTTCTTTCAGAAAAAGGCGAACTAATAGGCCAGTTATTGATTTCTCATTAAATAACTCACCTGTCATTACTGCATAAGACTCACTAATATTAGCAGGGTAGTGCAATATAATGTTTAGTTTTATTCTCTAATTATATATTTGCCACAATTAAAGTGCTGAATTATTATGATATATGGATGGATGGATGGGTATTGATCTTAACAAACCTTAATCAAACATGTAAAGCTTATACTTTCTGAGAATAATGAGTCGTTTATATATTTGTCTTCGCATGATTCGGACTATTGATGATGCACGTCAATTCCTGACAGGTTGTGGATGAGTACCAGAAAAACTTTGGTGAAACATGGAGAACTACACAAGCTGATAACGCTCAACCATGGCCCTATCTGAATGATGCTATAATCAAATTCCAGGTTTATAGCTCTTCTTACTGCATTTAATTATTGACATAATTGCATGACAGAATTTGAAACTGTATCTAGTCTTCCATCCTCCCTCTTCCCACCTCAACCCAATATATGTATTGATAACCTTTCTTTTAATCGACTGACCAGGACCCTGCAGAGGCTGATAAATTGTTGAAAATACAGAGGGAGTTGGACGAAACCAAAATTATTCTTGTAAGTCATATTATAGGTGCAGTGGTTTGTGAACTTGTGCGCATCTCATTACTGCAAAATTGCATCATTAGTCTGGCCTCGACCTTTAGTCATTTGTCATATCAAAGATACATTTCTTGTCTGGTTGTGGGATTAAGTTGTTTTGCCCGAGGCAAACTTCTTTGTGCATTTCAGTGCCAGCCTGATTGTAATCTCGCAGGAAAGAAATGATGACATATGACTTTGTTGAGGAGAATTACATTGTGTACTTGCTCATTTTGATAAGAAACCATTTTTCCTTATAACATATGGCTTATATAAAAAAGCTCCAATTGTTAATGATAAAAGATAATGGATAATTACAAAGAACGATTTAGTAGATAACTTCCTCAGTTGTATACTATATTGCTGTTTCTTGTCAATCACTTTTCATACCGATATACTCTCTCTTCCAATGCAGCATAAGACCATTGACAGTGTGCTTGCCCGTGGTGAAAAGCTGGACAGTTTAGTTGAGAAGAGCTCTGACCTCAGCGCAGCATCACAGGTAAGTTATTATTTACAGTATTCTGTGAAGCCTCCACATTACCAGTAGAAGTATATAGTATGCATGTATGTTGTTAATTTTTTTCATTTTCTGAAGACCGACCTAAACTTCTGCTCACCTGTGATTGAACAGATGTTCTACAAACAAGCAAAAAAGACCAACCAGTGTTGTACCATATTGTAAGCTTTTGATGATGGCATCACATGTTCTTACATAGAAGGTGAACCAGAAAATTGACGATTGTAATACGATTATATCCTCTACAATTTGTTTGCTTCGCTGAATCTTGTGAATCTTGTGAATCCTCGTTTGTTGTTTAAAAGATGGGGGAAACAAAATGTTGGGCGTAAAATCCTATTCGTATAGTATATTAATGTCTCATTTTCTTCATCGGTGTTCACGCATCCTGGTTTCTATTGTCAGTGAAATGTTTATTATTTATGCCCCATGTTATGCTGCTTTAGTTTGGTTGTTGCATCTCTAGATATGATGATCATTACTGATTAATGCCAAGCTGATAACAACTATCGCGGTCTCGAGTCGAGTTACCACTGTTAGACAAATTAGTTTTGCTTCTATGATCAATAAAGAAAACCATGGGTATAATTCAAAGCATGTTTATACAGAGGTGCAGATGATATGTATACCTACAAACCAACACGTCCAACACACACAACTGATGAGAGAGAGGTAGTGATATAAAGAGAAGCTTCTGTGATTTACATTTACTTTATTTTCCCAGAATAGACTTAAACCACCATATGCCTTTAGTATCTTTAGGACCTTCCCCTTCCGGTGGAGGGTCGCTCTGCGGTGTCTTGTGCAGTTTGCTCACATCATAGCCCTCCTCCTTTGCCTTTTCAAGCAGCTGCTTGTATTTTTCCTCATCAACATGAGTTTGTCTGCACAATATCTGATAAAATACCACCAATTGTTAGTACAATATAAGTTTCCTCTTTTCAAATACTTTCTTTATTTTGGTTCCCTATATTTTTAAAATGTCATTTTTGGTTTCTGTACCTTTAAAAAGGTATTATTTTAGCCTTTCTTTAAAAATTTGGGAACTTATATTGGATTCGTACTTTAATGTTTCAATTTAAAATTTGAATCAACGACGGTAAAATTAGCAGATTAGAAATCCATGTAAAAGTAAAAGTAAAAGCTAGTGGATGGATGATTCAGTCAACAGACATGAATAACAAGAGCATATGAAAAATTGGTGCAAGAAAGCGAAGAATTATGAGATGGAACATACCCAAAGATTGTTCCTGGAAGGTTCCCCAACGAGGGCATATTGATATTCATCATCAATATACAAAACCCAGTAATTCCCAACAACTGGAATGATGGGAAGAAATGGAGGCACATAGAATTTGACCTTGAACTTGGCCTCCTCACTGGAAGGCGCAGCCTTATAAGCCACCCCTTCAATGGAATTCCTCTTCCCGTCGGACCAAGTTTCGTTCACCACATTCACAACTCCATCTTCTCTGAGCGCATAAGTAGCCCTCGTGTTCACACCATTCTTGGGTTGAAATCTCGACGGAATCGAAGCGATCTCGTACCATCTTCCCATGTACCTCCCGAGATCCAATCCTTTCACCACTTCCATCTCCTTCTTTGCCATCGTTTCAGTTTCAGTTTCAGAGATGTGGGTTGCTCGAGATATTTGTACTTGTACAAACAGGGTTGATTGCTTGGTGGATTCTTATCCACAAGGTGTTTTCAGCGGTGCCCATGTGGCCCAATCATCGAGATGATACTCGAAGCTTCTCGATTTCGGATTGCTCGTTTGGTTTCTACTTTCTAGAACCTAAGACTATTGTGGCTTTGTGGTGGACCCTTTTGGTTGGCTTCATTTCGTGCAACTTGCTCTGTTTTGCAATGGGAAAATGATGTTTTATCTGATGGTGTCTTCATCTTTTTCACGCTGTTTCGATGAAATTTCTCGATTTCGAAACGTTTTGGATTCGCGACTGTGTCGAGAATTTAATAGAGAGGAGTGTCGTTCAGTTTTAACATTAAAAAGTAACTACGCTGCATCTACATAATTTAGTTTGGTAGTTCGACGACATGTGGAGGTGAAGGCGTGTAAGATTGAACAGAAATTGGCTGACCCATATTAGATTTCAAGAAAACTTTCATTCTCAAAGCACAAGGCAAAGGAAACAGAAAAACTATGAGAAAACTGAGAAGTTGTCCTGTCAATATTTTATGAACAAGGAAAAAGAGGACAAAATCAGCTGTTTTGTAGTAAAAACCTTGAAACGAGATGGTTTTTGTATCAGGAAATGGAGGAGCAGACGACAATGGAGCCTTGTAACAGACCGATGAATCGCTGTTAATGCCTTTGTTTTCATCCAACAGTTGGGAGATGCATGAGTCTCAAATGCATGATGATCCAAGAGAGTAATTATCAAATCCAAATTCTCCATTCATTTCTGATATTTCATTTTGTTCCTGAGTCATTATGCAGAATTCTGTCACTAAATGATCAGGAGAGATTCACAATACAGTCTAAAATCAATAACAACAAGAATCCGATCTAAATCGATAACGAAATAAGGAGAAAGATCTTCATTTTAAGTGATCAGGAGAAATACATAACATGATCTAAAATCGACAACTGCTGCAATCAATGAACCAATGGCCCATGAAACTTGACCTGTTTATGATGCATACAAATTTGCTGAATCAAAAGAGGTTGAAAACTAGTTACTGCTTCACTTGGTAACATTACAATCACATGGATCCTTTAGCCATTTTCAAACTTAGAACGAGATTATAGCGCTTTTTCATATCATTTCACACGATCACACACGATCCTTCAGCCATTTTCCATGTTTTAGACAGTTCGTATTTATATTACTATAATGGCAAGAAACAAATCGACTCAACCATAAAACAGCGACAATTCAAAAGAAAGGAATGTCTATATAGTTGTCACATGTACTAATGTCACCGCAGCGAGGAGAATTTCGAAAACTATGGAAAATTGAAGGCACAACAGAATGCAGTAGCTAACTATTTAGCAAGAAATTTGACTATACCCGTTTGATCATCGCATTCATTATATCGTCCAAGGACTCGAAACTGCCTTGAATTGACGCTCCGTGTGACTTTGTTTGATTCAAAACGTAGTTTCCATCCGCATCCACCCTTGCGTTAGGACCCAATTTTTCAAGCACGCTATGTAGAGCAGCAGCATTTGGTGGGACAATCAAAGATGAACTGACCTTTCTATCACATCCTATATTATTCTGATTCAAACTCTGGCTCATTAGAGTCCCATTGCTAGGAACCATAGAATTGATTGCGCTAAGATTATGCTGCACGTTTTGACTGTAATCGTATCTATGCTCTTCCCAACTCTGCTTTGGCATGCTATTCATAGCTTGAATAACACTGCCAAGACCTGCCTGGCATTGCATATTTCTTGAGTCCTGCAAGGGAGCTGAAACTGCACTTCTGGTGGAAAAATCAACGGGGATGCTTCCAATCGTTGAGGGAGTGGAAGAAATGGTCGAGTTTATTGCGTGCAATTGATCATTGTTATAAGCTTCATTAGGGGTCAAAGAAGTTGCTGAGAATCTAGACAATTGAGCTGCTCCCTGCCAGTTTTCATTAGGAAGATCAGGATCCAAAAAATTTGAACCGCTGGTTTCTATGTCAAAAGTTTCTCCATTTGATGGATCCACTCTAAGGGAAGTCTGATTTCCATATGCTGCCATGGTTCCTTGTAACATCAATGGAGAGCGGGAAACCGAATTGGTTGAATTTCCGATATTCACCCTAGTGTCAGAGAAGCTGTTGGGAACTCCAAACCCAGATGTCTCATTCATTGTATTGAATTCCCCAATCGGGGCGCTGGACTTGCTGTGTTCCAACTGGCTGAGCTCGAGCGACATCGGAGTTCCTTGCATCAGGCTAGTAGTTTGGCTAGGAGGCAACATAGTACTTGGCTGGATCTTCCCAAGGGTATTAATAGCGCAGTTCAAATTTTGGGAACTTTGCTGGATCAGTCCAGAAGAAGCAATCCCACGCAGGCTCATTCCAGCCGGGGAGTTCAATCTTCCAAGTATTCCAGCAGGTGAGTATGACGATAATGTCGAGTTTGGAAGCCGCCCAGATCCTGCAAAGCCATGTAAATCTGCATATCCATCAAGCGAACCTATGCGCATGTAAGTGCCATCTTTACTCCCAAATGTTGCAACCATGTTGGCTTGTTGAGATGCCACATTGCTGATCCTTTTCAGATAGAGCCTATATTTCTGCAATACCAACATGAATTATCTTACCTTCTCATTATGTGATAAACAATAAAGTTAATGATCTTCTTCATTCTATGTTTGTTTCTAAATATGTCATGTTACATCTTGATTTGAGTAATTTAGGGAAGGGTAGGAAAGGGAGGAGGATTCATGCCTGCAAATGGCTGGCCACATTTTCTCTGGTAAGTCCTTCAACATTCATCAGATCCAAGATTTTCTTTGGCACGGCCTCTGATTAAGAGTGAAGAAAATTGTTAGATTTGGGGAAACACAAATGAACTAGCATAGCTTTAAGCAACAACTTACTTTCAAGTCCCAACTGATTAACTGCTGAAACGAACTTCCTGTGCAACTCAACCGACCACACTACTCGAGGCTTCTTCTGGTTTGAAGGGTCGTCACTATCATGCCCGTTCTCTTTTCCTTCTTCATCGTCATCCTCGTCTTGGTCCTTCCGCTTCCTATTGAATTTTGCATTCTCCGCATTACTGGTTGATGAGAAACCTTGTTCACCTTCACCACCTCCATTTCGAGCCTTATCCTGATTAGGGAACTTGTTTTTCGCCTTAGGTTCAAGCTTCTTTCTCCGAATCACATGCTGCCAAATGTTCTTCAACTCCTCAATTCGAACCGGCTTCAACAGATAGTCACACGCACCGTGTGTAATCCCCTTCATAACAAGCTCAGTATCACTATGCGCTGATAACACTAGGGAAAAAGAAGAAACACCATCATCATACAACTGATAATTCAATAACCAAACCAACTACTCTGAAGAACATAACAATTAATGCAGTTCAAAATTCCCCTGTAATAAAGAGACCACATTAATTACATCTATGCAGCAGCAACAAACAGATCAAACTGATCCTCAAAAGCATAGGGCAACTTGGTATCTTAAGGCAAAGGATGTAATGAATAATGGGAAAGAAGCTTACTAATCACAGGTAGGTCCATTTCAAGCCCCACACACTCAAGAAGCTTGAAACCATCCATATCAGGCATGTTCACATCGCTAATAACCAAGTCAAATTTGTTTCTGTTTTCTCTCAACATTCTCAGCGCCTCAATGGACTGCTTCGTCGTAGTAACTGCACAAAAATCCAACAAAAAAGAAGTCCCAATTGTAAGGAACCCAAAATCCCAAGAACACATTTGAAGAAGATACGATTCAGCTTAGTCAACAACAAAACCAAAAATCCCCAAATCAAAATTACTGTTGAAAAATTACATCGATTAAACAGAATCGAAATAGGGCGAGAGGGAAAACCAACCATGATACCGGCATCTACGGAGGAGACTCTCAAGTACTTTGAGACAAATAGGGTCGTCGTCGACGGCGAGAACCCGCATCCCAACTGGGAAACGATCAGCGGCGCCATCTTCGCCGGCGGAAGCAACGGAATGGCCCTCCACGGTCATGGCGGAAAAAAGAGAGTAAAAATAGTGAAAATAAATCGAATTCCCAAGTGGGTTCAATGTTTTCCGCGCCCCCTTTCCGTTTTCTAAGAAACCCAGATGGGAAAAGAGAGTGGGGGAAGAAAATGATAAAGGGAATCAGAAGAAGATGGAGATTACAGAGAGTAAAGCTGTAGAAATCGGCAATGATGGCGATGCGCAGAAGCAGAACAGAGGGGAGAAAGGAAGAAATTGAATCCCAATAAAACAGAAATTCGTTCGAGTATTTTAAGCCAAATTCCTCTCAATTCTCAGTCTCTGCTTCTTCCCCCATTGTCTTATTATAATTGGTTCAAGGAAAACTCTGTTCCACTTTCTCTCTCCATCATCCGTATCTGTGAGAAAGTGGAAGAACTTTGGGTTTTTTGACAGTGGGAGTCTAATGTCCATGAACAGCTCTTTGGGCATTGGCCATTGCAGTCAAAATTAATGCATCACAGAAAAAAAAGTCAGTCAAATCAAGCGTCCGCTTCTCTCCAGTCGGTGACGATCTCCCACAGGCTTTAATCTTGCATGTGATTATTGTGGCGTTCATAATTTAAAGAAAAATCTACGGAAAAAATCCTTTAAGAAACAACTTATCAATTGAGTGAGGTAGTATTTAGTATTTACCTTAAAATAAAATAAAAAGTTGTAATCTTTACCTTATATGTTAGGTTTTTGTTGGAAGAATAGTTTCAGAAAAACATACTCAATGATGAGACATATATTTCTGATATGGAATTAATCGATTTTTGAGGAAAATATATAAGAAAATGGTGAATTTTGGCAGAGTTATTCAATGCTCTGTTACAAAATTTTCATGCAAAGCTGAGTTCTTTACCTTGTTTTTTTGGGTTATAGTTAGTAGATTGATAATAAGAAATTAAACCAAAAAAAAATAATAAAAACTACAATAATAATCTAAATCTAAGTTATAATCTTATGAAATTAAAAGTTTATGATGAAGATAGATTAAGCCCAAGTTTAACAAGAAAAGTTAATTTTTTTTTCTCGTAAATTACATATTAAGCGAGAATTTAAGAGCAATTTAGTCCAAAACATCATTTTTCTCTGTATCTTCTTCTTTTTCAATCAAATCC